AAGTATGTATGTAAGTTTTTAAAAAATGGATTTCGTTCCCCAAACAGAATAAAAATCAGACGAAAACAACTATTGGATTTGGCTGGAAAATATAATTTGATGTAGTGAAACACATATAGTGGAAGGATAAAAAAAAAATAAGGTTTTTATTATTTGCACACACAAACACACACACACACACACACGTTTGAATGTCGCAGAACTTCACTCGCTTGAAACGCAAGAATCCGTAAAACAACGAATTGCTGAAATCAGTGATACATCCTCATGGAACTCCTTGAAGACGAATATATTTTAAGCAGCTGAGGAAGTTTTGGGTAAAATGCAAACAAAACATTGAGACAGGTTTGATGGCAATGGTGATGCTTATCAAGAAGATTAACTGCAAGAAAGTATTAAATACGACGTCCAAAGAGACGATCCGATGGCACCGCAGGCCTGTCCAAAGAACAGCACAGTCAACTGTGCAAGGAGTTTACAGCTGCAAAAAAAAAGAAGCTCAACGTGCTTTTCATAAATCTTAAAAGACAACCGTTAAAAGAAATCAACAATCAACCTTTTGAAAATGGCTAAAGCGAATGAAAGCTAGAATAGCAAGTTCTCCATGATATGAAAAATGGAAAAGAAAATACGCAAATAAAATGGAAAATCACGGAAAACAGGACTTTTGCTACTAAAAGATAAAATATTCCAACGGTAAAACATAAAATTCCTGAGCTAGAACTTGAAAAAAAAGTCATTATTTTAAAAATGGTGGTCAAAACAAGCAGATGAAATAGAGAACTCAGAATATTCAAATAATACCAAGCAGATGTACGGCTTGATGAAACAAGTATTTCGCCCCAGATCAACTAAGTTCGCTCCTCTCAGGACAATGACGTCATGGACAGAAGATGAAAGAAACATTTTGATGGGCTACGGAAAAGGCTTTCAAATGTGGACCCCGAGGTTCTCGAGAAAATACGCCAAAGACCGTAGTAGTAAAGTTAACAGCAACCATCACTGGGCGAGGTTCTGCGTGGCATGGGAAAACTCAACATGGGCAGGGTTGTTGAGGTTGACGGCTTTCCTGCTGAGAGATTAAATGATGCTTTATCTTACTGTAAAGGTTTGGAGAGATGGGGAAGTACCAAACATTGGAGGGATGCAACAATGATACCTATATACAAGGGTAAAAGAGCGCGGCAATTATATGGTAATCATGGAGGGATTGCTCTCTTTTCGTTGGCAGGTTAGATCCTAGCCTCTGTTCTCTTATTAAGATTAAAACATAAAATAGCTGACAATATACTGCCTGAGTCACAGTATGGTTTCCTCAGACGGCAGATATAATTTTGACAGGACGACAAATTCAGGAAAAGAGATGTGTACAACAAATGGATCTTTATCAAATATTTGTAGATGTGAAGAAGGCTTTTGAGACTGTTAATCATGCTGCTCCCTGGAAGATCCTCTCGATACTGGGCTCTACCCGCCCACAATTTTTCAAGATTCTGAGCTCCTTTCATGATGGTATGGAAGCCAGAGTAACTTTTGGCAGCATGCTTTTCAAGGTTGAAAATAGAGTCAAGGAGGGAGATCTTCTGACTCCCACATTGTTTTCTATCTACTTTGCAATTGTACGGCTTGATGCGTCCGGGGAATGCCACAGTATTATGATAAGGTACAGGTCAACTGGAAAGCTTTTCAACAACGTAGGTTTGCAGCAAAGACAAAGGTCTTTTTGAGTTTAGTGTGCAACCTTCTCTATGCCGATGACTGTGACCTGGTCGCACACACACAATTCAGCACGCACAGGAGTTCATAAATTGATTATCAGGGCTCCTGTAAGGCTTTTGGACTGTCCATCTGCCTTGAATAGACAGTGGTGATGTATCAACCTGCTCGAGGAATTCAGTATATAGAGACATCAATTTATGTTGATAGTAGTAGTCTTGGGGTAGTAGACAAATTTGTATAACTTGGAAGCACCCTCAACCGCCACTTGTCTCTTGTCAATTAGATGGCGTTACTAATTAAGAGTTTCTCCGATGAATTTATAGCAGTCAAGGCCCGTTTCTGGAGTCAGAAAACTATAAAAAAGCCGACAAAAATTAAAATATATAATGCCTGCTTTATGTCATCGCTGCTATATTCATGTAAGACATGGGTAGGCTGTTCACAGTCATCAACGCTGCCATCGGTCTGTGAAATCCACTGGACGTCTCATACCCCTTATGCTGTTGTATTACAAAGGGTCAATACACTAAGTGTCGAAGTACTTATACACAAGCACACATTGCGATGGACGGGCTATGTTGTCCGTATGGAGAATGACAGAATTCCAAAAGAATTAATGCATGGAGAATTTGAAATGGGAATAAAACTACAGCACAAGCCGAAACTTAATTACAAATATTGCCTTAAAGAATCAATATCAGTCAGTTATGTGCCATACCGGATACACGCTTAGGCGATCATCTATCTTTTCGATATATGACAGACGAGGCAGATATTTTCCCGCGGAAGGTTGCCATTTCTTCCTGCGGTAGACCAATTGCCATCCAAGGTTAAAGAACCTGTTTTCCTGCTATTTACTCATAGCTGGGGGAGAAGAAAAGGATTCATACCTTTCCCAAGTGTATTAGCACGTAATTGAATGTAATGGATTCGACTAGAATTCGAACTCAGCATCCACAATCTGAGCCGCTATCCACTACACCACCGTACCTGAAGTATCAACACACAAGTAGATTACTGGTCTGGTTAACTGGCAGACTCTAGCTGAAAGGCCAGCGTTTTTTTTTGAGAGCTGGTATTGTTGATGTCGTCAAGATCTTCGATGAAGCATCACAAAAATATGAAGAACTGAAGAGAGGGGTTTGGAAGGGTTCCCTGAATTACGATGAGGAGCCAACCTAGCCATGTGCCTTATGCCTGTTGATGGTGAGCCTGCTCAGTCACCAGAAATCACAACACCAACAGTCTATTGGATATGACGATTTCGTAATAGCATGCTTTGAATGTCCGACCTGCAATAGGGTGTTCAAGTCGAGGTCGTGACTGACAAGACATATAAAAAGGTTCATTGAAAGTGATGATGATCAAAGTCAACTTCGCTATCAGGAGATGATTTGATATGCCACATATATTACAAGAAATGCAGATCGATGGCTGCCTTTATGAGTCACTGTCGTTCACACAACCGATGAATATAGTGACGTGGGTAGGGCGTGTTTAACTGACGGGCGGGTTATGCCAGGGATTTACATACACGCTTTGTGTGTCTGTAGCCACTCATATATCTGTGTATGTACGCATTTTAAAACTTGAGCTTGATTGCCGAAGCAGAATAAAACTCAGACAAAAACAATTATTGGATTTGATTATAAAATATAAATTGATGTACTGAAACACATATAGTGGTAAGCTAAATAAAGAAATGAAATGTGTTTTTTAATCATTTGTCTACACAGGCACACACATACATATACACACGCACACATACACTCACAAGATAAATATATGCAAGACACAAAGGCGTAAAATAGGGAGGAACTGAACAGATTTTTTATTGGTTTTATTAACAATTTTCATAATATATATATATATAGACCCGAGGAGGATGATATCCAGAGAGCTCAATGTAAAATTCAGAGCAGATATGTTTGAATAAAAGACAGACCACGTTAAGATTCCATGTAATAAGCTATTTCACCATAACCCCTTTAACAGGGTTCTGGATCATCAGACTTTACTTCCAAAAAGCTGAAATGAAAAATGAAAAGAAATTCACACGTTTTCGACGGACCTCATCAATTATACGTAAAATTAACGAAGTGAGGAAGTGAGGTGGGAGAGAGGATATGAGTGTGTCATATGTATCATTTCAATTTCCTATTTTTAACCCCAGTGTGTCGGCTAGATGTTGCTCAAATTTAACGCGTCTCGTCTCTAGATATAGATGGCTAAGGGTTGAATGATAAGAACGACATTAAAAGAAGAAGTTACAACAACCCCAATCAATTACACGACAGGTTTCACTGAAATTCTTAGACGCTGTTAATTTGCGTTACTTTAACGTGCATATTTGGGAGGTTAAGGTTTGATAAATATCTAAATGTCTAAACAATCTACGAAGAAATTAATTTGAAATTCGGTGGAGTTTCCTATATATATATATATGTATATATTCGGTGGAGTTTTTTATATATATATATATATATATATATATATATATATATATTCGGTGGAGTTTTCCGTATATATATATATATATGTGTGTGTGTGTCTGTGTCTGTGTGTCTGTAATTATTATCAAAATAGTTAATAAACTTTCAAAATAAATATAATTGAAATATGAAATTGTTCAGTTCCTCCCTATATATATATGCAAGACACAAAGGTGTAAAATAGGGGCGAACTGAACAAATTTCAACTATAATAATAATAATAATAATAATATATATATATATATATATATATATATATATATAAACTAACTAGACGGTGACCGCCGCCATTAGCTTTGAAATAGATACCCCACTCTACCTTGGTATAACCTTTCCGAAGGTGACGAATCTTTAGATAAGAATTAACTGTCTGACTACCTAACCAAGATGGCCGGCCCAGCCGTTTCTATAGTAATTAATGTTGCAATGGACCATACTTATAAACTCCCGCAAACCACAAGATAGCTTATTCCTAAATTTTCGCATGAGGATGAAACGGTACAAAACACTTTGATTCAACTTAATTTTAATAATTATAGTGATGGTTTCGGCCCCCGTTTTTGAAACATGAGAACTCTTATATAGCGAAGGGATCATATTTTTTAAAAAAAATATATATATATATATATATATATATATATATATATATATATATATATATATATATATATATATATATATATATCCCCACCTCCGACGAGAGGACTTAGTAAATCCCGGAGTGTCCGTCTACGAAACGGTAGATTCGGAATACTGCAGTTAACATCAATCAACTAAGTGCCAAGTTACCTAGATAGATTGATACATATATAGCGATAGATAGATAGATAGATAGATAGATAGATAGATAGATAGATAGATATGAACAGAGTAATAGATAGATAGATAGATAGATAGATAGATAGATATGAACATAGATAGATAGATAGATAGATAGATAGATAGATAGATAGATAGATAGATAGATAGTCAGTTTGTGAAAGGAACATAAGTAGATATAGGTGTAGTCAAAATGCACTATATACACATACACAAGCAAACACACACACATATATATATATATATATATATATATATATATATATATATATATATATATAAAATATGTGTGCTTTCGTAAACTTCACTATTTATTATCCATTACATGCGTAAATCTACCGTCTATTGTATTTAATCCAATATATTTCGGTATGCAATTCCTTCCGATTAGATTTCAATATATTACTGGTGCATATAATAGTAATAGAATGATGAACCATGTACGTCGACAATATTTCGTATACATTATTACTCAGGTTTATGTGAATTGTTTTATTAATATTCAAGTATATGTATAACATATTTACTCATATATTTATATGTATATATTAATATATTTATACATTTTTATATATATGTATATAATTATATAAATTTGTATATATATAATATATATATATATATATATATATATATATATATATATATATATATATACAAACACATGGATATGTATAGATATGAATATATATATATATATATATATATATATATATAAATTCAAACAGATGCCTAGTCACATTTACACGAGCGTATACATGTGTTTCTCTCTCTTTCCTCCCCCACACACATAAATGTATAAAATATATATATATATATATATATATATGTGTGTGTGTGTGTGTGTGTGTGTGTGTGTGTGTGTGAATGTATGTATGAGATCCATTGATTAATATTTTCCTAATAATGTCTGCTTACCAAACGGCGTACTTCCTTCCTTTCTTTGAGACGCTCAGATATTCTTGCCCTGAACTGTTTTTTTATCAAAAGGCTAATTATATTATCTTCATTGGATTTGTTTATTTGCTTTGGAAACATTTAATTAGCTGAAGGCAGCATCACATTTATTTTTTTTTCTGTCCAATAGAGAAAGTGGATATTACAATTTTATTATTATTATATATGCATTATTAATATTATTATTATTATTAGTAGTAGTTTCTCTTTTGATAGTAATGAATTTCATATTTCTGCATACGATTTAAATTACTGTGACTTTTCAACAGTTTATAGTTGACAATATTTCATCGATATTACAAACTATATTTCGTTAATGGCGATTTGTTTTCAGTGACGCCATTATCTTTCTGTCGAAATCATCCGTAGCGTTAGAATGTTAATGCTCACCTTTTGCTGATTTGTCACTTAGAATACCTCATTCTGATTCGAGGACTGGTAAATCTTTACTTCCGTCCAAATGTACACGTAGTGCGTCCACTTTAAACATTATTTAACTGGTCATATAATTCTTCAATTTTTTAGTGCGCTTGGGTGTGTACTAAAAATGATCTTTCAAACCATAAATTTGGCTGTTCTTTCATTAGACCAAAAAGTTGAAATCTAAATATGCTATGGCCAGTGTTGATGTTGATGAAGTCTTGTAAACTGCTGTGGGAATATTAGCAGCTCGCTGAGATATATCTGGGAAATATTGCCACATTCTGGGGTTTAATGTTAATGGCATTAGTAATAATAGCCATATCACGTTGAAACATATATATATATATATATATATATATATATATATATATATATATATATATATATATATATATATATATTGTTTTGAATAAAAACAGACCACTTTAAGGTTCCATGTAATAAGTTATTTCACCACAACCTCTTAACAGGGCTCTGGATCATCAGACTTTACTTCCAAAGGTTGAAATGAAAAATGGAAGTAAAGTCTGATGATCCAGAGCCCTTTTAAAGGTGTTGTGGTGAAATAACTTATTACATGGAACCTTAAAGTGGTCTGTTTTTATTCAAACATATATGCTCTGAGTTTACATTGAGCTCTCTGGATATCATCCTCCTTGGGTCCAACTATATATATATATATATATATATTCACCAATTGTAGACAATATATATCTAGGTGGGTGGTGACTGCTTCAGTCTGTTTCTCAAATGAGGAGTGAGCTTTCGTCAATATCACGTTGAAATATCGGTTCCCATAAGATGTTAAGCAACGTCGAGACTGGTCAGCACCGAGATGAGAGATAACTTGGGAATGCAAACTGCACTTGGCTTGGATGTGTGAATGGTGTAATGGAGCCGATTTCCAATTCCAATTTGGGTTCGTTATATACACTTATGCACACATACCCTCGGAAAAGGCATGAATTACATCTTCTCACCCCAAGTAATGGATCAATTAGTGAGACATTTACTACCAAATCACTATTATCTCCCCCACCCCACAAAATATTCTTACAATTTTAAAAATATTTTTCTGCCTTTAAATAAC